AGAGCAAGTGGGTGGATGTTGTGGCACATATTTAGAAGGCAACATTAGAGAGGAATAGTTTGAGGGAGTGAGTTGATCAATATGGTTTCAAGAATTTCCAGTTGGAGACATTCTAGAAGGCAGTTGATTATATAAGTCTGGAGTACAAGGGAGGTAGAGATTTGAAGGTCATTGGCATGTAGATCTCAACTAAAGCCATGGAAAGGGATGATATTTCTTGGAAAATGTGTAGAGGGAAGAGAGGCTGACATAGGAGAGAATCCTGAGGAACACCAATACTTAAGGAGTTCATAAAGAGGAGCTTGTAAAGGATACTGAAGATCCATGACTAAGGTAGGAAAAAATAATAGGGCGTGGAAAACAAAAGAAGACGGTGAGTCCGTCAAGGAGACCAATAGCACCCGATACTGCCCAGAGTCAAGTAAGATGAAGAATGACGTATCCATCAGATTTAGCAATATGGGGGCATTACTGTCCTTAGTGAAAGCCCTTCAACACAGTGGAGGCAGATGCCGGATTAGACTGGGTTGAAAAGAGAGGGCGAAGTGAAGAATTAGAAACAGCAAGAGTAGACAGCTCACGCAGCAAGGTGTGCAGACTATTCCCTCTCCCTCAAATGCCCTTCCATGTCTTTCCTATTGGGTAAAATCTTGCTCATTCTAGGATAGGGCTCAAGTGAAGGGAATTTATAAACACACAAACAAAAATCTAAGGAATATATTTTTTCTCCTAGAGCCAAATTCAGCCAGGGCTGGAAGTCAGGATGTGAGTGACTTATTCCATGCTCACCAGACAAGAAATTTTGACCAATAAAGAAGGCCTGTACACTCCCTGGTGCCAGTGTGGGGGTGTTGGGCTACATTAAGCCAAGAATGTGATGCAATTCTTAACAGGAAGAGGTTGTTTAGCTGGAATGGAAAGAGGATTCTGACTTGGGGTGGCAGTACAGGGGGTAGAGTGGGAAATAGAGTAGTTTTTTCAAACGAGTAGAGCCAGAAATAAACTGACAAAAGCGGAAGGAATTGGAAAACTGTAACTGAAAGCCTTTCTACCCCATCTCTGACTGTAGTAAAGCAGACAGAAAAAGCATCAGATTCAGAACGGGCTCTTCTTAGGAGCAGAGCCTCTTATTAGGAGAGAGACATACCCACTCCTCAGGACTCTCTGACACAAGGGGCATGCCCCGGCACTTTCTCCAAGCAAAGGGCAGCTACACTGATTCCAGATGAGAAAATTTACCTGTAAAATGGGAATAGTGGCTATCAACCCCTCATATGACTATATGTGAGAAAGCACCTTATATGCAACTAAGGACAGTTCAAATGTCAGCTGCTGCTGTTCTTCCAAGGTACACAAGCACGGGATATTTTTAAACAAATCTGAATAAGAAAGGTTACATACAGATAACGCTTGCCCCGAATGACAGAGACACAACCTATGACAGACACATTTAGACACTGTTGGGAATCATTCTTTGCACTTAGCTAAGGCATCTTAAATTGAAAGAATCAGGCCTGAACAACTTACTTTCTTCTTGTTAAAAAAATGATTTATTTAAAAAATGATTTATTTATTGGTGCTATGTGAGATCTAAAAATGTGGGGTTAAATGGAATAACATGCCTAGGGGTTTCTGGTTACATAGGTCAAATCGTTAAAATGAGATTAAAGAAAAAGTCCAAATTATTTTCTTCAGAGAATACAGAAACAGCAAAATATTATTTGAAATGGTGAATGTTTGTTGTGGTATTTATGGGATTTGCCTCATCTATCTCCTAAAGACCATCATTCTTTAAAGGCTATTTCTCTTCACAGTACAGTTGTCTTCCTCTCAAGGAAACACTGCTTTAGACACTTTGAGGAAGGGGCAGAGCCTTCGGATTGGCATTTTGCTGCCCTCTTCTGGGAACATTAAGTCATGGCCAAAGGTTCCTAAATATGCAGTATAACCAGTCCAGGCTACTGACGCTTCAGGAGTAAAATAACTATGGAACTGGGTTGTTAGCTTCCTGAGAAACAGGCAAGATTGTACTGGTCACAAATGCTTTCCTTGAACAGTTAGAATAGTAATACTAATACTAATACAGTATTATTACATATACTGTATAACAGTATACAGTAGTAATAAGAATAGTGATACAGTATGGTACTCATAGGTCACTTCATAGTTCATAAAATCCTCACAAGCATTATTGCATTTTTACCTCCTTTTATCCTCAAACAGTCCATCTGAAGTAGGCAGAGCAGATATCATCCCCATTTTTCAACGATGGGAAACAGGTACATAGAGCCTAAATAACTTACCTACAGTCCTACAGCTTCAATGGGGAGCTGGGTCTAGAAGCCAAGTATCCCAGCTCTCAGTCCAATGGTTTCTGCCCTCTCCCCTCCACAGACCACTGCTGCATGTGATGCCAATGATTTGTCTCTGCTGCAGTTTCATAAATCTCTATCCTTCTTCAGCAACGTCCATTCTACACTGTAGTGTTCACCAGATTAATGAAAATAAATATGCTGCTCTGTATATGATACTAGCAAGGCTACACTGTTACTGTAGCAAAAACAACAAAAACAAATATATCTACATAAATCCCACAAGCAAGTGGATGAGCTATAGCAGAACTTCCTAAACTTTTGCTTGGAAGTTCTTCAACGTCTTTTTTTTTTTTTAAGGAATTTTTGGCAAGCAGAATTTTGTAACACTAAGTCCCAACTCTGCTACTGGGGAAAATTGAGTTTAAGAAAGATGGAAAAATGTAGAGGCTAAAGACGGAAAAAAATCAAGAAAAAACAATTTGAAAGTCAAAGTACTTTTATTATAAAGTTCTAAGTGTGCAAATAAGCACTCTGCATATTAATGCAAATGGCCAAAAGGCATACAAATAGATAGGTCTTCAGTCCTTCCTCTTATAGGACTTACAACCTGCCCCTGCATGCCCAGCCCAATAAACCTCACTGCCACCTACACTACTTGCAAGGGAAAATTGGGAAAAGTCCGGCAGGCGCAAACTGCCATCAGTTGGTCAAAACTATACCTTCAACCAGTTTCTAAACTTTAGCACAGTAAAATATGCCTCACTTTATATGGCATGGTGGTCAAGGTATTTATTGTTGAACTGGAGCCACTTTTTCAGATGACAAATTGGTAAGGAGTTAAGTGACATGTAAAGTTCATTTAATATTAGCCACACAACATAAAGCAATCATAGCCATGACGGCTCTGTGGTCAACTAGAAACATTTCCAGACGGAGATCTGCCAGTCTATCTGACTTTGTGCTTTTTCTGCAAGTCTAATTTGTCTCCATGCCTTAACTTCCTCTCCCTCTACACTGTCTTACCTTTCAATTCTGTCCTAAGGAATCAATTTCACTTGCTATATTATCTTTCTTTCTCCAGTGTGTTCACCGTACATAGACAGAATCTTCCTGTTAGTCCTCCCTTGTTCTGACTGGTGTGTGTGTGACAGAGATTGGCCCTGAGCTAACATCTGTGCCCATCTTCCTCTACGGTATATATGGGATGTCTGCCACAGCATGGCATAAGCAGTGAGTAGGTTCACACCTGGGATGCGAACCTGCAAACCGTGGGCCATAGAAGTGCAGTGTGTGAACTTAACTGCTACGCCACTGGGCTGGCCCCTGTTCTTACTTCTTTTTAATGTGCCTTTTTCCTTTCCCATTCCCTTATTTGGCCTTTACCATTTAATACCACATTTTCTCCTTTCATTCAAATTATATGTATATCCATGACTTACAGAACAGCCCAGTTCCAAAAAACCTGTGCATAAATTTTTGTAAGTCAATACACTCATTCTGCAAGTATTTGCTGAGTACTCCCAACATGTCAGCCATTGGACTGAGTGCCAAGGATTCAAAGACACATGGATAACAATTGGTCTCTACCTCAGGGACTTCACATGGTATACAGTCAGGGAGACAGACAAGTACACACCCACTGCTATTCTAAATTGGTAGGTTCTATGCTAGAAATATGAACAAGTTGCTATGGGAGGATGAAACTATAACTTCTCTCAGGTTGGAAGGAAGGAGGATGTGAGAATGTTAGAAAGGCTTTACAAAGGAGACGTTAGAGCTGGGTCTCCGAAAGATGAGCAGAACTTTAGTACAATGAAGGTGAAAAGGACAGGGGTAAGGAACACAAAAAAGATGTTCTGGAGAGAAGGCACCAATGAGCCGAGGTACAAGGTAAAATGCTTCATTGGTTAGGGAAGCCTAGATAATCTGGTGTGGCTGAAACAAAAGAGGTGGTGGGGATTGGCAGATGAGTCTGAAATGGTACAAAGATTGTGGAAGGCAGACTGGAGTAGGTGATCTTTTATTCTATAGGTATTGGAGGTGTGATTAGTTCTTTAAAAAAATTTCTGGTATTAACTTGGTAGCAGTGGGTTGAGACACGTGTAAGGAAAGTAGTAAGGAGGCTACTGCAAGAGTCCAAGTTAAAGTCACTGAGAGCTTGAATCTAAGACAAAAGGAAGTAATGGATGAGAAATATTTTGGCGGTTATGAAAAACAGATTTTGGTTAAGAGCTCAGAGGTGGAAGGAGAAAACAGGAGTCATATGCAATTCATGACTTGTAGCTCAGGTCACAGGGTGGCAGGTAATGCCTAAAACCCAGAAATATAGTAGGAAGCACAGGTTAGGTTTTACCTTTGAGAGTAATGGAACGGAGATAATAAGATGTTTTAGATGCACTGAAATAATTATGGGATATTCAAACACAGATACTCGTTAACCAGCCAAAAAATTGGGGTCTCGGCCTCAAGTTTGAGGATTGACAGGTATATTTTGAAGTTATCAGAAATATAAGTGACAGCTGAAGTCCTAAATATAGAAGACAAACTAGAGAAGCTTGTTCTCGAAGAATTCTTGCAATGTTTGAAATTTTTTATGGAGATTCCTTAAAGCAGGGGCATATCCGCATTGCATAGAACAGTTTATTATAAAATCAATAAAAGGTAAGATGAATTAAGGTCTAAAAATAAAGAGTAAACATAACAGTTTATTTTGAAGCTCTCGCTTGCAGAAACAAAGTTGTAGCATTACATTAACTCCTAAGTACAAATACCATCTAGGGAAATGAAGTAAAATGGGAAGGGATAAAAGAAGGGAAGAGAAAGAGTGGAGGAAAAAGAGCAGAGAATGGGGGAAAAAACAGGAAAAAAGGGGGGATTTATTTTTAAAAATCACTTCGCTAAACCTTCAGTGATTCAGATGTAAATAAACATTGAATTAACATTGAGATAAAATGAAAAAGTGCGAGCAAATAAAATAAGATGTATTACAAACCAAGCATGAGAAAGGGCAAAAAAGAACTCAAGAGCACAAAATATTAAAAAGGAACAAAGGGAGAAATGACAGAGAAGTAAATTAAAAGGAGATGGGAATAACGAAATCATAAAAATTAATTTACCCTTTTAAAAAAAGGCAAACTAACCCGACAGGACAAACTGAAACACCAGAGCTTAAGAACGCGTTTACATCATCATTCAGGAGCAGTCAACAGTATAGTGTACTGACTGACTAGGGGTCCAGCAGTCCTGGAACTGAACCTAAGGACTTCAACTTGCTATGTGACCTTGGGCAAGCTGGGAAAATGGTTATGAGGACTGTAATAATACATGCAAAATGCCTAATACACAGTGCTCAATAAATAAAGGTTATGGGAGAAAAAACAATCCAGTCTTGATTAGTATATGGAAACCAAATTTACAACAATTTGTCTAATCTAAAACATGAATTCAGTTACAGCACTTGAAATAAACTTTATTAGAACTGAGTGGTTAAATTGCTCGATATAGTTTTACACTATTGGGTCAACCCTGTCTGTAATGAGTGGGATGTGAGACCAAATTTGCCCATTCTATCTCAAACTATGTCAGACATGCTACAAATTTTTCTTTGGGGACCTTTACAGTACAAGCTGTTTAATCCAATCAGTTAATGTGCAGTTACAGTAGTAACATCTATACAACCACTGCTCTTTGCCTTTTGCTGAGCTGAAATGACAACCAGGTGGGGCTCAGTCAGTTCTGCTAAATACGCTAACCAAAAGCCTTAATTGTGTGGCCACCACCACTTCTGCCCTTAGTCATGCAACTCCCAATAAGATGAGAATTTAAATTATGAGATGTTTTCTTATACATGTATTAAATACCGTGTGTGCAGAAATGATTATCCATTTGCCTTCTTAACTTGCTTTTATAAGACTTCCCACTGATAGAAGAAACTATAAGTTTTAATATTCTTAAATGTATATTTTTTTCTATAGAACCAGATCCCTGAAAGCACTACAGGAAATTTTTTTTTTTTTTGGGTACACAATTTCTCAAGAATGCATCTCATCCACGAAGTTAATTCAAACTGCAGAATTCTTCCAATTCACCACAGCTGGACAGTTTTCAAGGCTTTTGGGTACTTACCTTTGAGCTCCACATCTTATATATTTGGAGTTCTTAACTGGGGAATCATGGACCACTAGGTCACGAATGGGCTCTATGGAGTTCTTGAATACCCTGACATAGTATGTGATACTTGGTATGCACATAGACAGGAACATTTTTCTGGAGTAAAGGCACATACTTTTCATCAGATTTTTAAAGGTTTTCCAAAAAGGCTAAGAACCACTGTTAGGCAGTTAATGAACATATGTACGTACAATGTGCCAAATACTGCTACATTTTAATATTTGTGACACGTTCAACTAAAGTATGTTATGAAGTTCAATGTCATAACCACCAGAGAAGCTACTTGTAAGAGGAGTTCTACATGTTTACTTCCTAGTGGTTCACATGATCCTCAACCCATTGCAATCTGACTTGTCCCCACTTCTCTGGAATTACTTCTACCTGTATGATTAAGTTCCTAATCACTAAATTCAAAATACATTTTTTGGTACTTATTTGACCTCTTGGTGGTATAATATAGTGGAGAAAAGCAAGACTCTGGAGCCAAACTACTAGGCTCAATTCTTAGCTTCATCACTTTCTAGCTCTGCAACTTTGAACAAATTACTTAACTCTTCTGTGCCTCAGAGTGGTAACCGTTATAAAGTTGCTTCATTCATATGGTATGAACAGTACTTACTTCAAAACACCAATGTGAGAATAAAATAAAGTGTCAATGTGAGAATAAAATTAAATAAGCTCCTAACAAAGAAAGCATTATGTAAACATTAGTTATTATTTGATACCTGGGATGACTCTTTTCTTGAAAATCACTTGAAATCTGTCTCCTATGTCTCATTCTACCTTGGATGGCTCCTTAGTTTCATCTCCCTATTTCCAGGCTTATCCGTCTCTAATATATCTTTTAAAACTATGGCCAGAATGATCACTTGAAACTATAAATGTGATGTCATCTCTTGCCACTGATGTTAGTGTAGTCTAAACACCTTAGGGCAGCAAAGTCCTTTTATGATAGTATACCAGTCTAGTGTTTCTTTTTCAAGTCTCAACTGCCTACACTAACGCTATGAATTAAGGTGAACCAAGCTAATAACCATCTCCAAAACGTGCCTTGTTCTTTGTAACTCATGACTTTGCACAAGCCATTGACTCTGTCTAGAATACCCTATTTCTCCTCTTACTACACTCTTCTCCAAAGTAAATTTGGTGTCCTTTCTTAATGTGCCCCTAACAACCCTGTATAGTTGTTTATCACATTTTATTTTAGATGTCTGTTTGGTTGCTGATACATTTCATCCAGTCAGATCTTCCCACTACCTCCAATAAAGAACAGAAGTAGGAGACATATTATGACAGTCTTTTTCTTTCATTTTTCTATCATCATAATCTTAAACTACTTTCTTATTCCTTTGTTCCTCATCTCCTGCTTCTCATTTTTTTAATTAACCCACTGAGTTTAGGTAGAAATGTACCTAGAAGGATATGTGTACATAAATTAACTAGATAACAAAACTGCACACTGAAGGGAACATTCTAGAAGTATTTATTTCATTGCTGAACACGTGGTTGCAGCATGCAACTCTCAACGAGCTGCCACTCTCCACTCATTTAGAAGTACCAAATGCTATGGTACCACTACTTAGGTTTTTAGCCTTTCAAAGGCTTTTATTATCAACATCATTACTTAGGGACAAGGCTTTTAGGGCCTTAAAAGCACTTATTCTCTATAAAAAGTAACTTCCTATTTCATGCACCAAACTCTAATTGGCAGATTTAGGTTCAAAATGGAAAAAAAAATTGTATTCTAGCTCTGTAAATTATCAGGAATAAAATAAGCATTTCTCCTTGCCTTGTTATAAGGAAACAGGATTTTTTTCTCTATCAGGAATCAGGACAGTAGCTTTGATGATCTCTTAAAGTTATAAAATTGCTTACTGGTTAAAGTTCTTTCCAAAGATGTGAAGAAATAAGAAGTTGGCTCATTTTCCTGCACAATTTAAAGAAATATTTGCAGTATGTGTAGGAATTATAGGTTATATTGTAGACCCTTGTGACACTATTTAAAAGTCCTGTTCTTCTCACTTAAAAAATCCTACCTCAGAAGGTAAAAGGAAATCCCTATCATCCCTGAGCAAAAAAGGGAGAAATCATAGGTACTTTTATTTGTTAACAGAAGCCACTGTAAATGATTAATCTATCTCTAGAACATTCTCAGGGAATTTACATAGACTGAAGGAGGTATGAAGTACTCTCAGAGACTTTCTCAGATAAATGTATTTAGTAGTTTGAGCAGTTGCTATGCAAAAATTTAAATTTAATTAACTACACAGCTGAACATTTTCCATTTTGAAATTTGAGAATATCCTGAGAGGATGTTTATGGGACACGAAACTAATGGTCACAGAAGAATTTAAAAAATGTTAGCAAACTGTGGCAGGAGGAAAAGAGTGTGGGGAAAACTGTAATGGAGAAAGTGAGAAAGGGGCAGGACAATGCTGTAGTTACGAGCAGGCCTTTCTTCTCATTACATCAGGGGCCTGTGGCTATCTATAAGCTATTCTCACTCTTATATTAACATAAACCAGATGCTGAAAAATAACATTAAGAATGTCCGAAACTAATTTAAGTCTTTTAAGGAGTAAATGACAGAAAACATTTTAGCTTCTTAATCAAGGAGTGCTATAATATAATTTCAAGGCATCTTAATATAATTCATTTAACCCTAAAGCAATTGTGCAATAAGCAAAATATCACAAAAGAAAAACAACAAAGGTTAACTTCCTACAGGGGCCAAGAGACAAGATCTTTGCAGCACAGCAATTAACCTTTACATACTGGATTCTTATTTAAAAGGCCATCCAAAGCTCAGATTACTGAAATTCACAAATGTCACCAACAAAAGGAATGTTGATCAGATAGAGTCAAAAATCTTCCCAAAGGGCTGCCTTCTCTGAAGGAATTGCAGACTATTTCTAGCACAGATTGGTTAAGCCAAACCTCACTGATGGCTCCACTAGAGAATGAGGATGCCCTGATCAGTGCTGTTTTAGAAATGTAAAACACTGGGAGGGAAAAAACAAAAGAAAACAATCTACTGTTCCCTAACACATATGGCTTAGCACCCAGAGAAAGCCTCTGCCCACACAAGAGACTTTCTACACAGGGTTAAGCTTCGTTAAATGAGGTGTAACCTTTCATTTTCAGGGCGTATCTTTTCTTGCAAGGTCTTTAGAGGCAGAAATTCCACTTGGATTCTAATACACATCTCTGTGAGCTCAGCTTCCTGAAAACATACACCTGCCGAATTGTAGGTTCTCCCTTGCCAGTGACTGGTTCATTACTTCACAGCCACCAGAATCGCACATACACTATTAACATGACGAAAAATACAGCTACTGCTGCAAGTTTGGCATAAGTGGAACGCATGTTCAAGTACTTTGCATCCTGGCGGTATTTCTTAGACAGACTGGACAAATTGTTAGCCTTTGAATCCAAAGCTGTCAAAGAGGAAAAAAGGAAAACATTAATTAGTCCCTGGAAGTATTTTATCAAATGTATTAAGACATAAAAATAACCAAAGTGAGTGTCACTATACCAAACAACCATGAAGCTTTAATTATCATTTTTATTTTAAAGGTAAAGTGGCCAGTACTGATTAACTCATGATCCCAAAGCACTGTAAAATCTACAATGCATTTTTAAACTATCAGACCAAATTAACTCAAATTCTTGAGGCTGTACAGTAAGGTAGTTAGGAATACAGGCTCTGGCCTCAGATTCTGGTTCAAATCTCAGCTAAACCAGCCATGCGACATTGGCCAACTCATTCAGCCTCCCTAAGACCCAGTTTCTTCAACTATGAAATGGGGATAATAACTAACTATGTCAGAGGATTACAGGTATATGAGAGTGCCTGTAAAGTGAGCACAATGCTGGCATATGGTAAACACTTAATAAATGTTAGCTGACATTAATCATCTTCATAATTCATCTTCACAGTGGTGACTGTGACCAAATTTGTAAGATTCTCCACATAGCAAAGACTATTATGAAGGTAAAGCTATCAGAAATTATATTTCAAGAGACATAGGAAAGCTGTAACTAAAATACAATCATAGGTGCTAGAAAACCACCAATATTTATTAAATTAAGCTTTTCAGAATCTTCTGCAAAGTTTTTTGTCCTATAAGAACATTTGTAATGTTGTTATCTTCTTATAATTGTTTATATTCTTATAATTGTTAACTGAGCACTTAGAAAACAGCCAGATAGACACAAGCTAGACTGGACTAAAATATATGGCATATTTTAGTAAAAAGTAAATTCTCAGTTTGACATAAAGGAATTCTATCAAACTTTCTACTTCTTCAAACTTTTGAAAAACCCTATTTTGCAATCGGAATTTGTTTGTTCTTCCTTGGGGAATGCTTTTGGAATATCTAGAATTGCTTAACAGAGACTGGTTTTGATTGAGAAATGTGGCATTGCTTAGCAACACAGACAAGACAGTCACTTCTAAATTAGCAACTTGTCCTGTAAGTAAGAAAAACACCTAGTCACACAAGAAAAAAGTTAGGGGATGAGAAATAACCATGACAACGCTGCCAGGAATCTTCCTAGCCAGTGTACTGGAATGTACACTCCTCTAGACAGAGATTTTTAACTACTATGTTCACTGCTATAACTCCAGGCCCTCGAACAGGCACTGGCATATAGTCAGTGCTCAATAAATAAATATTTGCTAAATGAATCTAAATCTGCTGAGAATAACCGGGCGGAGAACAACTACTAGGTCACATAAAATACGGAATAGTCAGAGAATTCCTCTACACAGGAACATGTTGAAACACATGCTATAAAGACAAAGCCACTTTTGGGAGAAGTCATTTAGCAATATTTACATTACAGGCACCATGTGAAGTACTGGAGGATACAATGATGAACAAAACATATGTGATCCCTGTATTTGTGGAATTTACAGTCTAGTAGGGTGACATGTTTGAACGAAAAAACAAAACCCATGGCTTATAAGACACAAGTATATTTACGCAGTAAAAAAGGACATAATTTGATCTTGCTGAAAGAACCCATAGGAACTATTCTTGGGTCTTAAATGCAAAGCAGACTAGCTCTTAAACTTTAAAAATTACAAAGAGAAAAAAGCATAAAAGATGGATGCTTTTTATCAAGAAACTTAAGGAGGAAGAAACATTTTTTGAAGTAGGCTAATCTTTTTACTGTTCTTCAAATATGCTCTTTTCAGATGTTTTTTCTTCCTCTTAAAATACCACTCTCTTCACTCCTTCCTAATCTATCAAAATTCAAGAAATCGTCCCTGTCCACTTCACATTTATCTACTTCCTTCTAAACTTTTATAGCTCTTATTGTCTATTTATCTATTTAAAACTATCATACACTGAAGATGGACAGGGACTCCAGAGGCCAACAAATTCTGCAAGGCACTAGCAGTGAGTGTGACTTTTGGTAAGCTATTTAAGTTTTCTGAGTCTCTGCTTCTTTATCTGTAAAACTTGTTTGATACCACCCATTTCAAATGGGATTACTCTAAAGAATAAAGAAGATATATGTAAAGGCCCCCTACTATATTGCCTAGCACAAAGTAAGGGTTCAATTGATGTTGGCTCCCTTATACTGTCTATGAATTATTCTGTGACAATGTTCCTTATCTTCCCAATCAGACGAAGCTACTTGAGGGGAGAAATGTACTTCTTTTTCAATTAACATAGCACCTTTGTAGCAACAGCACAGCACTTAGAAGAGAATCCCTTACACTTTTGATAAACTGGCCAATATATAAATTTTGGATTTAAGAAAAATTCTTGTGCTGGTGTACTTTATCCCAGATAAAAACTGTTAAGTCTGTTATGATAAAAATTTACACAGACTCACTTATCCAAAATCTGATGTTTAAAGAGTGTGAAGCTATATGCTAGGACAAACAATGACTACAAACATAAAGGTTAAAATGTGCAGTCATAATAAAGGAAAATCCATTTACCCATGATTATGTAACAAGGTTGAATTCAAGAAATATTCATTAAGGTATCTACTTGTGATCATTACTGTGAGAGAAATAACAGAAGTACATGAAAAAGATATGAAACACACAAATACTACCTTTAAAGAATACATGACCACATTAAACACTTAGGTAAGATTTAATTATTAGGTAAATATGTATATTTTAAGGTAAATTAGGTAAATAAGTACACACAAATACATGTACACACACACCATGATGTGCTAAAAACACCATGCAGCTAAGCGCACTTTAAAAGTTTAAAGGACAAAAGAGATTAATGTGACATGGGCTATAGGAATCAGGAAGGCTTCTTTGAAGAAGCAGGTGTTATCCAGATCTTAAAGAACAAGTCCAGCATGGTGAGGAAGCTACCTGGTTGAGGCAGAATGTTCTTGTACTAGGGAGAATGAGAGACGTTTGCAATTTCCTTATCTTCCATTATAGAGAACATGATGCCTTGCACATTACAAGCATTCGGTAATAATGACTGATTGAATGCAAAGTAAGTTGAGACCAGATTAGATATGATCTTGTAGGCACAGATTCTAAAAGTTTTCCAGCAGAGGAATGCCTTGATGAAAATGGCACTTTATAACATTTGATCTGGCAGCAGTAAAGTCTCTCAAAGTGGCTACTCAGGAAACCACTACAATAAATCTTTTGACAATTTCCTCATTCTTCTTTTCATTTTTCTTACTTATATGTTTCTGTAAATATTTACTTAATTTTGTAAACATCTTGGAAACAATAATTGTTTCTGATATGTAATGAGACTTCTACACTGTTTCAACTCAACAAAAACTAATCTTGCTGGGAAAAAAATGTATCATATTGGGAGATTTGTAATGTTACCTATCTCTGAGAGAGGAATTCTTAACAGTAGCTAGATAGAACCTAACAGGAAAAAAGGTATCCCAAAGTAAGCTACCCTTGCCTATGGAATGAGAACCACTTCTTCCTAAGACTCTTACTGCTTTCAGGTACCTGAGAGTGCTTCTCCCCGTTGTAACACTTCTTCAATATTGGCCACCATGATCCTCTGCACATCTTGCAATTCAGTGTTGATCGAGCCCAGGTTTCTCCGAGCACGACTGTCAATGTAGAGCTTCTTGGTTTTCTGAATGTAGGTATCTAGAACGATAAAGAAAAGTGATCATTAACAAATTCTTTCATGTCCATCACAGTACTAAAGTAGGGAATGCAAGTTCTGAGTTGGGTCTGGATCTGCAACTGACCATGGTTAACCAAGCTCTTGACTGACTATCAAATTTGAGTTTTGATTTCTTCATTTGTAAAATGTAAAGATATAACAGATGATCATTCAGGAGAAATTTCCTTTGCACACCTTCAAATTAGAAGTATCTGCTATCAGGATCCTTAGATAAATTAAAACCCTCTACAGTAAGCCTTTCCTGAAAGCAGAAATTTTCAAACTATATTCCAAGGACTCTCAGAATTTCCTTACTTAACTCTACACATTCCCTGGAAAGGATGCTGGCAACAATCTAGCATCACAACAGCCTAGCATGGAAAAGAGTTACATTCTCATTCAAAGGTTGAAAAACATTGTCTTAAAGTATTTTCTTTAACCTACATTCCCAATTTCACACTGTTCTTAAACTTCAGACTTCACATAAAGCAAACGTGATAGGGAGCTTCCCAGAATACCACTATAAACTGCAGTCTCATTCATGTTCAGCCCATATCTGTATTTCTCAACACCGTAAGAAGAATGACTAATTACTAAAAATTGCATTTTTAACTTTTGACAAAAATCTTAAGTTATGTGTGCTGAATACCCTTCATTTTCCTCTTTTTTTTTTTTGAGGAAGATTAGCCCTGACTTAACATCCACCGCCAATCCTCCTCTTTTTGCTGAGGAAGACTGGCCGTGAGCTAACATCCGTGCCCACCTTACTCTACTTTATATGTGGGACACCTGCCACAGCATGGCTTAACAAGCAGTGTGTAGGTCCACACCCGAGATCCGAACTGGCAAACCCCAGGCCGCTGAAGCAGAACGTGCGAATTTATCTGCTGTGCCACTGGGATGGCCCCTCATCTGCCTCTTTCCATCTCCTCTCCAGCCTTGTGCACTCTACTTTCTGCCTTGGGAAGCTCACCTGCATGGACCACATCCATGGGCTCCTTGCTCTCCAGCTTCTAGCTAGGTTCAGCCAGTGGGGGGAGCCCCAAGAGTAAGGAAGAATGGATAATGACATCAGGCTATTTATTCCCCTACCTCCTCCTGGACAAGTCCCCTTGGACTGGCAGTGTCCCTCCACCAAAAGTGACTGTTCCTCTCAAGTTGGCATTCTCTATAAATTTTCTCCTTCCCAGTTCAAGAAACTGCTCCCTTCTCTTATCCCTCAGGCCTTGGGATGGTAGCAATTACTGTGTTACTGGTCTCAGGTTACTACACCTTGTGGTTCACCCATAACCCATTCATATCTTTGTACATAATCTTGTAAGCTAATTTGAGTGCACAAACTATTTCCTGTGTGACCCTGATAGCGTAGTCTTATTTTTTTCTTGGGTTTACTGGACCTCTATTGTCTACAAAAATAAAATTTGAAAATTTGGCCATTATAAAAATCAGCACTTGTAGAGTTTGTAGTTATGAAACACTAGAATGTTTCATTAAATTTTCTTTATTTCTAAAAAGCAAGATGGCCCACATATCTAGCAAACTTGAAACACTTCAGAAATTCAGATAGTAAAACCAATTTCTTTTTTAACTAAAAAGTCAGTGATGTAGTCTTATCATACTTGTTCTCACTTCCTCTACTTACCGTACCTAGGACATTTCCTTCGATCTGTTGCCATGAGGCACTCTACCAGGTCTGACCAGTGATGAGTTCTTCTATAATTCTTGCACAAATATGGATACCCATGCTCACTACTTCTGCATGTAGTAAATGTTATCCCCCAATACCATATTCTGTCTGTCAGCTGTCATACTGTGGCAGCTGTGTGTTGCTGTGATGCTGAAAGCTATGCCATGGGTATTTCAAATGCCAGCATGGTCACCCATGGTGGACAGGTTTCAGCAGAATTTTCAGACTGAGACAGACCAGGAAGAACGTCTTGGCCACCCAATTCCAAAAAAAATGGCCATGAAAACTCTATGAAAGCAGCAAAGCATTGTCTGATATACTGCCGGAAGGTGAGAGGATGGTGGGAAAAGATTGGGCAGAGTTTCACTCTACTCTTCACAGGGTCGCTAGGAACCAGAACCAACTCAACTGCACTAACAACAACAATATCACATTATCTTCTGGTACTTTTTTTTTTAAACTAGGGGATCTTATTCTAATAAAAGAAACAAAACACCATTCTTTCTGATTTCCAAATTTTGATCTCCATAAAATGAGCCTGACTGTGTGTGTGTATGTCTGTGTGTGTATCTGTGGGTTGGGGGAAAGAAGAACTCAGCGCCAGTCAAGTGGATCATTAGGCACAGTTCTTGACCCTAATGAAGAATCCAACCAAAAAACAAAAAAGGGCAAAGGGAAACAACTTTATGGGGAAAAGATCAACCACCAGAGAAAATTACTTATGAGAAGGAAGCCTCAATCATTCAAAAGGACAAAAAGAGGTGGTAGGAAGCTGAGGCAGAATCCAAAACTTCAGTAAGTAAACATCAGAAAAAAATGTGTCAACATTGTATCAGTGTAACAAATAGCTGCTCCATATTGTTTGCTCCCTCCATAGAGAGGTGAGGAGCAAAAACTTACCAAACTCAATAAAGGAATAGGGTCGAGACACAGTGGGCACCTTCTTTCCATGCTGTTCATCAAACTCAGAGTGTAAATCTTCTAGGTAGGCAAAAGCCAACTTCTTAGGAAAGGCAGCCTCACACAAAACCAAGTAGCACACTCCCTGCTCAATGATGTAGCTGCAGAGACAAAGAAAAGCATGGAAACGTTGTTTGTAGAGTAACAATACCTCCAACAATTTGAAACAGACTCTTAGTGGCATACAAACTTTGAAAAGATTCTAACCTAAGCCCTTTAAGGCTAAGTAAATCAGAAAGTCAATTTCAAACCATAAATCCTTGGAATCAGAAAGCAAACATCTTCCAACGATTAGAAGTATATTCCAAAAGGAATATTTAGACATGTTTATTATAACTGTTTATTCATCACATAATTTTCCAACTAAAATACCTTAATACCTAAGACTTTTTCTTGAAAACTCAGAGTTGCGACTCCATCTAACCTTTGATTATGTATTATGGTAAACCAGTATACACATATTTAAACTCCTTCCAGATGTAAGAAAAATAGTGAAACTGGAAATTTTTGTGGATACTTAAAAGTTGGAAGTTAATGCCACGACATTTACTGGGTACAGAACATAAGAACCTGAAGACTAATAACATTGCCTAATTTCCAGGGTAGGAGGACTCTGTATCAAGTGGAAACTATCCCATAACAGAACTGACTTCCTCTTGTGAGAGGGAGCTCCCTGGCACTTTGGAAGGGGCCATATGACTGCATGTCTGAGGCAGCCTTGGAAAGAGGTTAGGTTATTCAGTGGTTTTCAAATGTTTTTTCAACCATAATATTCTTTCCTTTAGCAATAATTATGTTCAGAACACCAATACGTATAGCAAATAAAGTCATAAATTCTTTAAGTAAGACTTTAAGGCCCCAAAGTATTATGCACATCCCCATCCCTGCCCTTTATATGTGGTTCCTAAGGCATCCTAGGACTCCACAGAGCATAGTTTATAGTCTATTATATTCTATGATCTCGCAGACCCTTTAAAATAATAGTAATAATGATGATGTTGATAATAATAATACTGCTGTCCTATCTCTTGCTTGGGCACCTGGATTAACCAGTCTCCTTGCCGTCAGTCTAGACCATCTTCTAAACCACCAGTTTTATTCCTAAAAAGTAAATATGACCATATTACCCTGCTTAAAAACTCTAGGGATTCCTAAATACCAATAAAATAAAATTGTACTCCTTGGTATAGTATCTGTAGCCCTCCAAAACAAGTACAGGCCGCATTCCATTATATATCCCAACACACCAAACGACATCCTGTTCTCCAACAAGCTAGGTTCTTTCATGTCCTCATGGACTTCTGCTTATAGTGTTCCTTTCTAACCATAATACTTTCTTATGTACCTAGAGAAATCTTGTTCATTTTCATATGTTCGATTCTACTATAATTTTTTCTGTGAGATTGCTCTGCATTCTCCCTCCCTCTACACCGTTCCCTAAAACTTACTCCCTACAAATGGGAATTTCTTGCTTCCTTCTCTCTCCTCCAAAGCATTTTATTTATATCCCAATTACAGCACTTCTTGCCATTAATGTTTTATAGTATAGTCGTTTGCATATGTGTCTCTCTCTAATAAGAGGATAAGTTCATTAAAAGCTACAGACATTAAAGGCAGGACTTAAAACATGATCTGGCAAAGAATAAATCTTTAATAAATAGCTCTTGCATGGAAATAAAGGATGAGATGACACTATAAGGGTCCTAAAGGAACCAGGCAGAAGAACATCTCTTCAATTCCATGAAAACTTTCCTAGATCTTTTCTTCCTAACCCATGGTAGAGATATGGATACTATATAATTAAGTGCCTCCAATATTTTTTGATGTTGAAAATTCGATTTATAGAAAATGTTTCATATACCATGTAAATTAATACTTTATGAAATTTAACATCCACTACTTTCTTAACCAACAGGCCAGGGTTTGGTTTTGGTTTTGGTTTTGGTTTTGTATACTTGTTTGCTTGTTTTCTGGTAAGTAGAGGTTTTCTTTTTTCCTTTTAAATTAAACACAGCAGGTTTCTCTCAAGTCTACATAATCTGAGTTCCTAAAATAGCAAGGATTATTCAGCTAATCCTTTTTTATTTTCCTCTGATCTTCTTGCCCTCTCTTTACTTTTTAAATCCTTCCTGTTTTATCACCTTCAAACTTGACACGTATTAAACATTTAATAGCAATTATTTGTAGATTATTTGAAATCTAATCAAGTCCCTTTGATCTCTCTCTTGGCCGCATGCACTGTCTATAAATACTGACTGAGATGCTCTTACACTAGCCTTTATAATTTTCTTTTTCCTAACTAATAACTAACACTTAGTGACTATTCTCTATGTACCAGCAAAGATGTTAAGAGATATACATGGATTCCCTCATAATCTTCACAAAACTATGATTATTCTCCCTATTTTATAGAGGAAATTGAGGCCTGTGAGTTGTTCAAGGTTACACTGTTAGTAAATGTTTGAGCAAGGGTACTAACCTACATGTGTGTGGCTCCAAGAAGCTCCTAAAGTAAAAAGTTATCACTAGACACAGGATTAACAGGTTAAATTACTGTATACAAGTTGAATAAAAAAATCAAGATTTCAGATTTGCAGAGAATTAGAGCCAGGGAAGTTGCTTCTATGAAGAGACTATATTTTTAAAGTTATTTTTACTTCTAAAAAAATGTTACCATTCTTATCAGGTGTTACTTATATTTACCGTATTTCATACTTAAATGATTACAAAGAAGTCAAGATTATACTCACTGGAAAGTCATGGCACCAGCTTCCAAGGTACATCTGGTAGGGGACTGTTCATTCAGCTTTCGGAAGAGCTGCTTAGCCTGACTCTGGTACTGCTGAAGGTCGCGGCCAGACTGAAAGAAGACACCTTCACTTAAGAATTTTCCACAAAAAAAGCTGTCTCAATTATGAGAAGCATCACATTATGAGGATGCTATGTGAATAAGGGCCTTCATTTACAAGTTAATAAGACTCATTTTAACAAAAGAACCATGGCCTACTTTTAGAGCAAAAGGGGAGACCGGAACTCCTAGTTCTTCAAGAAAATCACATTAGTTATTTGCTAAGAAGTAAAAACGCACCCCTCAACTACATTTAAAGCAGGCTTAACTTCCAATTCAGTGTTCTTTCCATTGTTAGGTCAGCGCCCTCCTCCACTTCACTTGCATAGTTACTGGCACAGAACTCACATGTTCTATACTCAGGGGGAAATCCTGGGAACAACAGACTAATGAATCTCATTCTTATGCTGGAATACCAAGCAAAATCTTCCACAAAGTGTTACAGTATGGAGCATTCAAGCAAAATTAAATGTGTGTAGCCATGACTGCAAATTATTATGAACACTCTAACTGCAACTAGGTAAAAATGAGGAAGAGTAAGGACAAAGATAGGAGAGTCAAATATCCACTACTGAACAAATCTATTTGGTTCCCAAGTTCAGACAGCAAAAGTCTGCATGGCAAGGGATGTATGTATACAAAAATGAAAATAATAATATTCAGATGATAGAATTACAGGCAATATTTTCCTGAACAATTTCTAAATGATTTAAAAAATTTTTTAATTATTTATTTTATTTTTTATTTTTTTGAGGAAGATTAGCCCTGAGCTAACAACTGCTGCCAATCCTCCTCGTTTTGCTGAGGAAGACTGGCCCTGAGCTAACATCCGTGCCCAACTTCCTCTACTTTATATGTGGGACGCCTACCACAGCATGGCTTGCCAAGTGGTGCCATGTCTGCCCCAGAGATATGAACCGGTGAACCCTGGGCTGCCGAAGCAGGATGTACGCACTTGACCGCTGTGCCACTGGGCCGGCCCCTAAATTTTTTTTTTTTTAAAGAGGGAAAATAGTCTACTGGGGGAAATAGCAGCATCATTTCAAAAGGAGAAAATCAGACCTCACTCACCTACTAGATCCAAAAGGGAAAAGAAGTGCAGGAAGAATGGGAAGCCAATATGTATTAGTTATTTATCCACATACTGGGGGGAAAAAATCCAATAACTTTTGCCATGTGATGGGAGGAATTATTTTATTTTGGATTGAAAGAAACACTATCTCCCCTTGGTAGATGTTTAATCCCTAAACGTTTAAATAGAAAAGTATTTATATGAGATTCTCCCAGGGACTGGATCTGAGGTCTAAGTTTGAGAAAATACAAAGTGAAATCTTAAAATTCTTGACATGAACCACTGAACTAAGAGTAAAAACAAGGAAGCAATGATAAAATTGTGAACATGGCAGATAAGCAAATGTACAAGTACAGGACTCTAAGCTATATTTAAAATGGTGAACTGGAAATGCAAATCAAAACCACAATGAGGTAATACCTCACACCTGTTAGAATGGCTATTATCAAAAAGATAAGAAATTACAAGTGCTGGCGAGGATGTGGAGAAAATGGAACCCTTGCGCACTACTGGTGAGAATGTAAACTGCTGTATCCACTATGGAAAACAGTATGGAGGTTCCTCAAAAAACTAAAAATAGAACTATCATATAATCCAGCAATTCCACTTCTGGGTATTTATCAGAAGAAAATGAAAACACTAATTCAAAAAGATATATACACCCTTATGGTCATTGCAACATTATTTACAATAGCCAAGATACGGAAACAACCTAAATGTCCATCAAAGAATGAATGGATAAAGAACATGTGGTATATATGCACAACGGACTAATATTTAGCCATAAGAAATAATAGAATCTTGCCATGTGTGACAACATGGATGGATCTTGAGGACATTATGCTAAGTAAGATAAGTCAGAGAAAGACAAATACATTATGATCTCACTTATATGTGGAATCTAAAAAACAAAATAAACAAACAAAACAAAACACTGAGCTCACAGATAAAGAGAACAGACTGGTGGTTGCCAGAGGGGAGGATAGTAGAGGTTTGGTGAAATGGGTGAAGGGGGTCAAAAGGTAAGAATTTAAAGTTATAAAATGCATACATCATGGGGATGTAATGTAAGGCATGGCGACTACAGTTAATAATACTATATTGCATATTTGAAAGCTGCTATTAAGAGAGTAAATCTGAAATGTCCTCATCACAAGAAATAAAGAAAAAGAAAAAAAAAGTTTTTAACTATGTATGGTGATGGATGGTAACTAGACTTATTGTGGTGATCATTTCGCAATGTATACAAATATCAAATCACCACGTTGTACACTTGAAACTAATATAATGCTATATGTTAGATATATACCTCAAAAAAAATAGGTTAAATATAATAGTGAACTAGAAATTTCAATAGGAATAAGGAAGTAAATCAGCATAAACGAACCAGGGGAGTTAGGCAGAGACCACTAGAAGTATCAATTTGTAGATTAATGTTGTTTAGCACTGTCCTTCTGGCAATGATTTGTTATAATGCTGCTCACTTAAGAAATATTTCTATATTAATGTATATATGTATGCATGTGTGTGTATATATATACATACAGTTTTATATATTAATAATACTTTATAATAATCAACATTATAATACATATTAACAGTATCATATGAAACAGTATTGCTAATATAGCAGTGCCATTTACTTCCTTATTCACTTCCTTATTCATAATGAAATTTTTAGTTCACCATTTTATTTAATCTATTTTTATTGAGGTATATATCTAACATGTAACATATATATTTTCATAATTGTCAGTCAAAAAAGGAGAGCAAATAGTATCACACGCTTTGAACTAGTGCACAATATCCTATGTTCCTACATTTGAATGGTACTTGCCAATCCGTTGGCTTCACCAATGCTATTACGTGGCATTTGAAAGAGATCTGACTCCACAACAGTAGATAAAAGGGATGAAAATAAAGTCGGAAATGCTATGAAAGTACCAAGAAATAATATCAATATAGATCAATGATTTTCAACCTGGGCTTCACACTAGAATCACCTGGGGATATTAAAAAAACTACTCATGCCCAATTTTCACCCCCGCCAATTAAATCAGTATCTCGGGGGTGGAACTGAGACATTGGGCTTTTTAGACATTGGCTTTTCTAAAATAAACACAACCACAGATGTTATACGTTTTTTGACAGCGAAAGGCAGGTGAGCACCTTAAGGAACCAGTGAAAGAAACAGATGGCAAAACCTGTCAGTCAAATAAAGACTGGTACAAGTCCTTCGACTTCATAAAAGGCATTGTAAACATTACTGCAACCTGAGAGAAAAAGCCTAACAACTGTATCAACTGCAAGAAGCTGTGGCCAAAAGCATGTGCAATTCCAGGGATTTACAATGAACAAAGCAGTGATTGCCCATGTACGACACTGGGGGCATATCTACAATAGGGATTATGGCATGCCAACCAACATTTTACCTTGCTGGTTCAGTAAGCATCACCACTCCACAGAACACAATATTGGCACAGTCTTTCTGGTAGTCATCTTGACTATATGCATTAGAAATTATACAATTTTGCATACTGTTTTATTCAACAATTTCACAACTTTGAAAACATACATACACACATATATATGTTAAAAAGTAACTACAAATGCATATAAAAATAAAAAACAAATGTTCAATAATAAGATAGGGGACTGGTTAAATAACATGGTATATTTATATACTGGAATACTATAGAGCCATTAAAATGATGTATAATATTCAATGATATGAGAAAATATTCATTATATATTAAGTGAAAAAAATTAGGTGGAACAGTCTTACAGTACTATCCATCATTTAATTTTATACACACATGCAAGGATTAAGGTTATACATCAAAATAGATATAATTTAAGTAGCAATTATAGAGGTAATAATCACCATTAACATCTCAGTCCTTTTGTTTGTACATATTTACTGAATTTTCTACAATAAGCATGGATTAGTTTTAGAATGGGAAAAATTATTTATTCATCCATTCCTGATTATTGCATATTTGTACCTACCACACTATGTACAATTCTAGTCCATAAACTTTAAGAAAGGCAAAACGGAATTAGAAAAGACTCTTCAGAAATAGGCAAATGAAATTAAATGAAAGTACTCTCTCTTTCTGCCAGCCACTTTTCTAAACACTTTACATAATTTAACTCATATAATCTTTAGAACTACCCTATGAGGTGATTAGACTTATTATGCCCATTTTATATTTGAGAAGTCAAACTTGCCCAAGGACTTGGGGCCAATAAGGGGAGGGGCTGGGACTTGAACCCAGGCAGTCTAGCTCTGGAGGCCCTGCTCCTAAGCATGTTATACCACCTCTACAATTAACATTGCTTCAATGACAGTAGACCTGCCTTCTAGGTACTGTCTTACTATTTAACATTAAATCTAATTCATAGGAAATGCTCAAGAAACCACGTGGCAGCTCTGATCTAGATCTCACAAAACAATATAATCTCCTCCTTACAGATAAACCTTCAGTTTGCTTTCAAGATAAAAGTCACAAAGGGCCCACAGTCAGGCAGTCTATCTAAAAATAGTTAGATTAGATGTCCTAATTCTGTTTTCTACTTCATCTAGAACAGACTTGATGAGCCTTGTATACAGTATAAGGAAAAGATACCTGTTAGGAATCCAGTAATGAAGTGGATGTGAATGTCTGGACAAATTCTGAAACTAATCTGAGGTCGACGAGTAGCATATTTAGGATTTGGTTCTGTATATAACACAAAAGCTACAGGGTAGAATTTGCCACAAAATCACAATACTTTTTATTGCTGTCACCTAGGACTGCTGAACAGCTAGTTGTATCAAATGCCATCTTTTGCCTCTACAAGAATGTTTAGCTAAGCTCTTATCACCTTTAAATCTGTTGGACTCAGCTGGTCAAAGGCCAGCAGCACCAAGAACTATTTTCCTCTAAAAGGAATGACAGTAAGGTGATTAATCAACCCACGGTGGTTGGGGGTGTGTGGCAGTTCCACTGTACAACAGACTATCTGCTCTCTTGGGGCTCCCTGCTGTCTACTTGGTTAGATCTAATATCCTCTTCAAGTCTACAAAGAAGAGGCAAAATGAAAGAGAAGAGAATATGGTTCTTTTTGAGGTTGAACAGAAAGGCAGATAAAGAAATTGCAAACATCTGAAAAGGAGAAACATGAGAAATGAAGAAAGGAAACAGATAGAATATCATTTAAAGAGTCTAGGTTTGAACAGAAAACCTATCCCTCTACCCACCCTAGGCCTACATTTCCAGCAAAGCACAGAGGAAACAGTGTATAAGATCCTCTGCCTGTATGGCTTTTTAATTTTACTCTATTGTATTATCTGAATAACTTTTCATCCTCAGTAATAAGGCAGCCTGTACAGGGACTAGCACCTAGTAACTATCTGAAATATATTTATTATCAGTGTAAATAACTGAAAAAGTACATGGTATTATTTGGCCTGGACTGTTAGGGTGCTTAACTATAAAACTATTTGGTGGAGACACTCATCTGAAAAAGTTATTTCTGGACTCTAAGAAGTAAATACATTATTACAAAGACTAAGAACAAGGCAGTAAAGTATAGCGATAAGCTGCTAAGGCTCTAGTTTGGAGTTAGAGACATTGATTAAAAATCAGTGGTTCTCAACTAGGGGTGATTTTGCACCCCCACCCCCACCCCGGTGACATCTGGGAATGTCTGGAAATATTTTTGGTTGTCACAACCAGAGGAAAGGCGGTGGTAGAGGTACTGGCATCTAAGGTGTAGAAGCCAGGGATGCTGCTAGACACCCTACAATGCACAGGACAGTTTCCCACAACAAAGAATTATCCATCCCAAAATGTCAACAGTGCCAAAGAAACTCTGATGAAAAATTCTGTTATGCTTATGACCTGTGTGACTTTAAGCAAGAGACCTATCCTCTCTAAGCCTCAGAGTTTCACTATCTATAAATGGTGACAATAACAGTACCTATAATAACATGGTTGGTTATGAAGATAGAATGAAATCACATACTCAACAGGCCTAGCACAGGCTTGGTATGTAGTAGGCACTCTCTAAATGTTCCAAATTCTATTATAAGAGTAAAAATAAGTCTAGATTCATATTTTTGCACATATTAAAAGCTTAGGAAAGCCTTCATCATTCAAAATCAAAATTCCTAAAGGAAATCACAATGGAATTATAAGCACAAAAATATTTATGTGTAAAATATCTTTCCTTGTCAATTAAACACAGCAATCCACCTTAGTAGACTGCTACCTAATTTGGAATTAAATTAAGAAACACAATATATCAAATAATTTTTCAACCAAGTATCAAAGCAGAGTAAAGGCCTACTAACAGTAAGTAGACTTTCAAATCTACTTTATATTCTTTGGCACGCTGGAATTCATCGCAATAGTTGGAAAACTGACCAGATTTTCCCACCCTGGGAAAACTGTTTCTCAGTCAAACTACATATCCTTCAAGGGAAATTTCCCCACACCATCTCCCTTGTTCTTGCATTCATTTTAACAACTTCACTCCTTCTGCAGAGTAGTCCTAGAAAATTCTTAACAAACTGGAGAAGAGAAAAATTTTTCACAGTTGAAAATTCAGGGCATGATATATTTTTCACATTTTTAAAATCAATGTTTAGACTTTGTTTTGTGGAATGAATCTCCCCAAATCAACTTAGATACCTTTTTCATGTTCAACCACAGAACCTTCTTCCTCTTCCACAGGGGTTATACTACATTATAATTGTTAGTCACCTAACTTTCCCATAAACTGTAAGCTCCATGAAAGTAGGGACGATGTCCCTCAACCCTCCGCATTAGCATCATGCTTGGCCCATCTGATGTGCTTAATTACTTTTTCCCATGAATATATGAATGAAAAGTCCAATAAAAGATATGTGCAAAATATTTTTTTTTAGAACTCATCTTTTTTTAGGCCTTGAGATTTTTTCCAAAACACTGCTTAGATTGTATGAGAAGGTAAAATAAAACTGATCACTTTAGTTATATAAATTTCATTCTCAGCCTCACTTCTTCAGGGACCCCACTAACCTTGCTCCAGAAACTTGTCTCACAACAGAAATTTCCCGTGCGATTCTAAGGCAGAAAGTAGCTTCCTTTCAAGATATCTGGAGTTGTTTTTTAATCAACTCAGCACATTTTTGAGGATACTAGCACAAAGCTGCTGTTGGAAAAGCTATGGGAAACACAAAGATGACTAAGATCTGTCGTCTGCCTGCTAGGAAACCCAATCTAGGAAACCCAATTTATTAAAAGGCAAAGGAAAACAGTAAAGGTACAAACTATTACAGGAATATAACACAGTGGTTATAAGTCCAACAGTAGGAATTTACTAAGGCTTATCGGAGGAGGAGGGAATTGGGCATAACCTTTAAAGAAGGTACTGTACTGAACTTCAAACGGGCGCCTACATGTGGCAATATTACCTCATCCACTTTCAAAAGATGTCAGCAAGCGAGGTCAAGGATCGGGTGCCACAGTAGAAGGAGCCGTAAGAACTCGAGCTGATTTTTCCCAGGACCTGTCAGTCAGCCTTATTAGCAGCAAAAAGTTAGAAATCCTAAATTTTAACAAAGTCCTTAAAGAGTGACAGGGCACCGGGTGATAACAATCAGCCGAACTTATCCCTTCTCCAAGAGCGTTTTTCTAAAGAGAAACAGGTAACACCAATCCACCTCCGCCTTCAGGAACGATTTCTTCTAACAGGTAGTCTCTCCGCTCCCAAAGGCTAAATGAGCACGTGGGAGGGGTCCGGCGCGCCTGGGAGGCCGCAAGGGTCTCCTGTCTCCTAAGAAGGAATCCAGCGCTGAGAGCAGCCCGCTCTGGCATGGGTTCGAGGTCGCGGGGACCTAGCACCTCACCTGTTCGTCCTCCTGCATCGAGGCGGCCAGCGGGAGCCCGTCTGCCACCCGGGCGATCATCGTGAGCAACACCATCTTCGCAGGCTACAGGGACCCGACAGTGGCCCGCACGGCCGTAGGCGTCGCCTTGACTTCCTCCGCCGCGACGGCAGTCGTACCTCTACCTTACTTGCCGAAGATCCAGCTGCTTGCGTCTCCGCTTCCCGCTGAGGTGGCCGGAAGTAAGCTCCAGAGCGTTCCACTACCGGTCCCCAGAATTGACTTCCCGCCGAGAACCGCAACTACCGGAACACTAGTTCCGCGGTCTCTGCTTCCACCTTCAGAAACTTCCAAGGCCCCGCCCACTTTTCTGGATTTGAAACTTCGAATAAGCTTTGACCCCTGAGGGGGCATGGCACACAAACTGAAACAGAATTTTCTAGTTCCTGATTTTCTAAGTTTGGGGAGAGAGCTGGGAAGGAGGATGGGAGTTAATGAGTACTTAGATGCTGGATATGCAGAAAAAACTGAAAATCAGGCTATATATTTTCATATTTAATTTTTCTATACATAATATTTTCCCTACTCATATATTTCTAGGCAGAGATTTTTGTCTTTCTTTGTTTTTGCTTGTTTGTTTGTGCTGTTTCTGGTAAAAAATAAATATTTATTGTATGTGAATAAATGGCCTAGTACAGGACCTCAGAAATCACCTAGGTCAGTCACCCTTCCAAAAGCTGGGCTCTCTCCCACATCTATCATGATGGGTAGCAGGATAACCTTGCTAGAACTTCCAGTAACTGGGCATTCACTACCTACTGGAGCAACGTCTAGGCAGTTCTACTTGAGGAAGTGTTACCATCTCTCTTTTCTTTGATGTCCCCATCTCCAGAATGGAGGTGTTTTCTGTCTGTCAGGATTTTTAATAGTAAATGAGAAAATGTAGGTGCATGAGTTTTGTAAACCAAAAAAAAGTTATACAACTCTTACATTTATTGTTATATTAATAACAACTACTCTTTATTGAGCACTTAGAGTTGGCATTTGCATTAATAGAACACTGCTAAGTGCTAGTTATTTAACCAAACAACCCCGTAAGGTTGTTCACTATTAGGTCCCCACTTTGTAGTTGGAGAAAAAGCCTCAGAGAGTGATTTTTCCAAAATGATATGGCTAGTAGTGATGGGAACAAGATTAGAGCTGAGGCTGAATCCAAATCCTACACTCTTAATCCTGTTGCAACTGGTCTTAACATTTAACTGTAGGTTAAAGAGCTCATGCTTTTGTTAGCTTTTCCACAGTTCTACAGCTGTTAGGAGAAAACTAGTATTATTTCTTGAGAGGATTTTGGGAGGAAGACCTAGTGATTGACTCCACTCAGAAGATGAAGGACTGGGATATAGATAAAGAAACCAATGGTGCTATTAACAAAGACAGTGGAGAAAGTGAAAAAGAAGGCAATCCTTGCGTATATAGGAGCCTAAATTGGTAAAATCATAGTATCTTAGATTTAGAATACCCCAACAGTAAAACTTGATCTAACTTCCCTTCCTCCCACTCAACAAGGACATGCCTTCTAACATAATCTCAAATAATGGTCATTCAGCCTCTGCTGGAACAATTGCAGTAATGAGGAATTAATAGTAAAAATATTTTAACTAAGGATATTGCTAGGTGGACCAGAGAAGCAGAGAGAGAACAATGTAATAGGCATGCACATTGAGAAGCAGATTTGGAGGAAAAATCCCGGCTTCTTTCCAGTCTCTGGCTCTAGGCTTTTCCCAAGGCCCCTAAACATCCCTGCCCACAGACTCTGTGAGCCATAATTGTTTCTTTATAATAAATCCCCCCCCTTTTTTGCTTAGTTTGTGTTACTTACAGTAGCACCAACAAAGTTAATGAGTAGAGGAATGCAGAGTCACCCTGGAGAAACCCTGTCTTGAAACAACGATATTCATACTTGTACCTCTTAACTTTTTTCCTCTTAGACGCACTAGATGATTCTGACACCTTTTAGACACACTGAAATTATTATTCGAAGGAGAGAACAGTGGTGTTCTTAGGTCACTAAACAGCCATCAGAAGAATGCCAGAGTTGTGTCTGTCTGAAACTGCCCCACACTTAGACCTCAGGAAATATGGAATCTGAGTTGCTTTTGCTTTTGACTTGATCAGCATCATCTCATTCACCACCAGACATTGCCTTTGAGCTCCTGCCCCTTGGTCCTTTGGGCAATACAGGACTGGGTAATAATGGTGAACACTGTGATTAATACATGGAAGGTTTTCAACTCTTTTACATCAAATGAAAAAAGAGTATCAACAAACAGTTGTTCAGAGCTTTAGAATTTATAAAGCTTATGTATATCCTTTGCCTGAAACCTGACAACAACACTGTGAAATGGGTCAAAACGAAGACTCTTGGAGCTTGTAAACACTGTACTAGGTGGGGAGGAGGCGGGGTGGGGGGCGGGCGAGGAGGTAAACAGAAACCTTGAATATCAGTTAGAGCTTCCAGCAAATTCTTAAAACTTATCAAAAAAACCGAGTAAAGTCACATATCTAAGTCAACCTAGATTAAGCTGCTAAAACAGGTTAAGACTTTCCATTAAAGCAGAGTCAGAAGGTTACAGAGATTTTACAAGTGAGATCAAAAGAAGCAATAGCTAGAGGCTTATGTGCATTTACTCTTAAACAATTGTTGAGTACCTAATTACAGATACTGAGCTAGGTCATGAAGATGAATGGATAAGTTTGAGCAGCCTGTGGCCCATATATCTAGCCCCAGACCAAATGCTATTGCTTGGAAGAAGAGGTCTGCAAGTAAATAGCAAGTCCTCTTTGAATTACGTGATTGCATAAATGGAAAAAGCATTTCTCAGAATGAGGCAATGCTCTTGACAGACAAAAAAAAAAAAAAAATAGATGGCCACTATATCTGGACTGATATCCAGCCATATGCACTAGTATGGCCATACGCACCAGTTATTAAAAAACTGAAATGCTTCCTTACAGATTAGTAAATAGCTACTGTCCTGAGTAACACGTCGTCAGCCCACATCTCCTACCACAACAGCACCAGAACTCATAGTTCTGCTTCTACAGTTCATCCAGATTAGGTTCTGATTGGTCGATTTTCATGCCAGTCACTTTCAAAAGCCCCGCCTCCCAGGTGGCCGTTGGCTTGTTGTTGTTGTGTGCCTTCAATCTGGGTTCCAACTGTCCACAATGTCCTGTCCTGAACAGCCCTACTCAGCTTCTGTAGACTCAGGCCTATGGTTTCCCTTGTGGACTCAATCCATCTCATATTTGGTCTTCCTCTTTTCCTGCTGTCTTCTGCTTTTCCCAGCATTATTGTCTTTTCCTAAGAATCCTGCCTTCTCTTAATGTGCCCAAAGTAGGACAGCCTCAGTTTTATCGCTTTTGCCGTCAGCGATAGTTGAGGCTTAATTTGCTCCAGGAGCCACTTGTTTGTCTTTCTGGCAGTCCAGGGTATCCATCAAGCCCTCCTCCAACACCATATTTCAAATGAATCATTTTTATTTTCCTGTCAGCCTTCTTCACTGTCCAGCTTTCACACCCATATGTAGTAACTGGGAATACAAAGGTGTGGATGATCTTGGCCTTGGTCTCTAATGACACTTCCTTACATTTGATGATCTTTCTTAATTGTTTCATTGCTGCCCTTCCAAGTCTCAGTCTTCTCTTGATTTCTTGGCTGCAGTCTCCATTTGAATTGATAACTGAACCAAGGTAAACAAAATCTTTAACAATTTCAATGTATTCATCATCTACATTCAAGTTGTGTAGTCCTGAGTCATGATTTTTGTCTTCTTGATGTTCAAATGCAGCCCTGCTTTGGCATTTTCTTCTTCACTTTTGTCAGAAGTCATTTCAAGTCATTGCTGTTTTCTGCCAGTAAGATGGTGTCATCTGCATATCTTAGATTGTTGATATTTCTTCCACCAATTTTCACTCCTCCTTCATCTGAGTCTAGCCCAGTTTTTCATATGCTATGTTCTGCATACAGATTAACAGAGAGGGAGATAAAAATGTACCCTTGTCTGACACCTTTGCCTATAGGAAACCATTCTATCTCTCCATATTCTGTCTTGACAGTGGCTTCTTGTCCACAATACAGGTTACACATCAGGACAATCAAGTGCTGAGGTATACCTGTTTCTTTCAGAGCAGCCCATAGCTTTTCATGATCCTTGCAGTCAGAGGCTTTACTGTAGTCTGTAAATCATGGGCTAAGCTTCTTCCGAAATTCTTTGTCATACTCCCGGAGACAAGGAATAATCTCAATTAGATCTTTGCCATTGGCTACCTTCAGGGAATCTAGAATGGCCTCGCCTTCCACTCTGGCACCTGCCCTTCGGCCATGCTGCTGCCCTGTGCAGACTCTGGCTGGATTGGGAAGTATGCCAGAGATGGACATACTGACACCATCTGTGCTGGTGGTTATTTTGAATGATCGTCCCTGACTAAACCTTCTCACAGTGTAAGCTTCATGAAAGCAGGAATTTGTCTTGTTCATTCTTCAATTTGTTCACAGACCTTATCTATGTCATCCACAGTCATTCCAGACAGTGAATTGAAAGTAAAGATTTAGGGGACGAAGGAGAAGAAAAGAACAAAGTATGTATTGTGAGTAATGTGAAAGTCCCTATTTAACAGAATTAGTCCTTTAGATAGCCTGCTTCAAATATAGAGCTCAGCAAAGCTATCCTCTGCCTTCTAGAAGGCAGCTCATGAAGCTTCATGTTTCATCATGCCTGTCTGGTTTCCCTACTTTGTCAGGAAAGTCAGGCAGAAAGCAGGCCCCACTGATCCAGCCCTTAGAGTTTGGGATGTTGCGGGCATGGTGGTAAAAAAGATAGATGGGGTAGTTTTGATAGCATCTAAAATATTTTATTGGAGCCAGCCCAGTGGTGCAGTGGTTAAGCTTACATGTTCTGCTTCTATGGCCTGGGGTTTGCCAGTTCGGATCCCGGGTGCAGACATGGCACTGCTTGACAAGCCATGCTGTGGTAGGCACGCCACATATAAAGTAGAGGAAGATGGGCACGGATGTTAGCTCAGGGCCAGGCTTCCTCAGCAAAAAGAGGAAGATTGGCAGCAGATGTTAGTTCAGGGCAAATCTTCCTTAAAAAAAAAAAAAAAAAAATATATATATATATATATATATATTATTGAACTTAAAAATTTTTAATAGATTTCTTTCTTCCCCTACTAGCCTCCTTTCAG